CCTTTTCCTTTCAAATTAATATTTTCTATTGCCCTCAAAGTTAGACTCTCCCGTAAGTCGCCGGCCCCTCGCCTCGCCCACCACTTTTGATCGATCGAGCATTCGAGCTCCTTGAGTCTGTTGTAATATAGTAATTTGACTATTTTTTTTAATAAAGGTAATAGACTAATAGTAATTTTGTTATTGTATAGCACAAATCGCCGGCCGAGAGAAATCAGATCTTTTTAAGGCAGGAATCAAATCTTTTGAGAGTAAGAGATCCCATCTAATCTTCCCATAATTAGCATGCGCGTAATTAAATAAATAGGCTCAGTGGACAGCAGGCGGCATCTGCTGTTTCATGACTAGCCTCAGTTATGGTGATTACACAAAATTGAGTATTCACGGTGGCTACTAAAATCTACACCTTTAATTATCTTTATTTCATTCTAATTTTGATTTGATGGTAAATATTAGATTAAGGGTAATATGAAAATAAAAAAATATCACACCTGATTTTTATCCTTTACAAAATTAATTTCTATCTACACACTCCTATAAGCACGTTCTTGGTGAGGAGGGGGTTGGATTACGAAAAGGAGGCCTCTGCGCGTTTCAAGGAATGCTATTTTTGTCATTCTACTACACTTTTATTTTACTCATAGAGATTAAAGTACCTACGATGATTTCCTGAACTTGGGCTTCTATTCTTAGATTGGGCTTGGTTTGACATTTTATAATTTGATATTCACGTTAAAAAAACTAATGGTCTTCACATAAAAAGAATGTAAAAGCTTCTAAAACTGTGGCTTCAAGCCATGAAGCCAACTCTTTAAACAAAAACTTCATGGTAAACCTCATTTTTGTAGAAAACTCCAATTTCACTATTACGTAGGCTAAGAAGACGGTGGTTTTCTATGATAACATAGTGGATTCATTGATGAAGAAAATGATATAATTTAGCAACGGCAAAATTAAGGTCTAAGTGTCGTTAAAAAAATATTAAGAAAACATTGAAAATCATAAATGAATGAAAATATGTTTTATCAAAGCCGGCCACCCTCGGCCAACCTCTTACTGTCGGCGGCCACCCACCACTCTGGCTACCCTCGCCCACCGCTGCGAGCACCATCTTCTCTCTCTCTCTCTCTCTCTCTCTCTCTCTCTCTCTCTCTCTCTCTCTCTCTCTCTCTCTCTCTCTCTCTCTCTCTCTCTCTCTCTCTCTCTCTCTCTCTCTCTCTCTCTCTCTCTCTGCCCTCTCTCTTCCGGAGAAGGTTGTGGCCGAAAAATGTTGGATGAATAAAAATCCTAGATCTGATTTTTACCCCGCATTGGTAGTGATTTTTTCACAGTGGTAGTGTTTTCCGCATTTGTATTGTTTTTTCCCGCATTGGTAGTGATTTTTTCGTAGTGGTAGTATTTTTTCGCATTGGTATTATTTTTTCCGCATTGGTAGTGATTATCATATATGCGTATTGTTTTTTTGTGAAATTGTAGTGTTCTTTTTCTGTAGTGGTAGTATTTTCGCATTGGTATTGTTTTCTTTTTTAGAATTGGTATTAATTATCATGTAATGGTATTGATTTGCATGTATTGATATTAATTAAATCTGCAATGGTATTGGTGTTTTGTGAAATGATAGTGTTTTTATTTCTCGAATGATATTGGTGTTTTGTGCATTGGTAGTGTTTTTTAATGGATTGGTATTGTTTTATTGTTGCAGCGGTATTAGTTCGGTTGAACGAAAATAAGAAAAAGATTGAGAAAGGGAAGGAAGAGAGATCTGACCGGAGACTGTGGGAGTGAGAGAAAGAGAGAGAAAATTGTAATTAATATATTTTGTAACTTTCTAAAATATAATTTGTTAAAAAATATAATTAATAAATTTTTTGTCATATCCAATTTGCCATTAGTAACCACGGTGATTACTATTTTACAATAATTTCCGTAACCTGTCCCGCCTCAGTTCAGTGGTGTCATTGGAGCACCTGCCCTGAATTATATCATGAGTATATTCATCTGGATAATTAAGAACTAACTTAATTCTGCGTATTTCAAGTATTTGGTCATTGGATTGGATGTACTTCTGAAATGCATGATACTCTTAAGTGACTTGCTTATTGTACGAATTTGTTGTATTTCAATAAATCAGTATTGTTGATAATTTTATTTTAATAAATTGATATTCAGTTTTATGTTTAGAGAATCAAAACTTAAAGTTTATGCATTAGAAGTTAGAATATAATGTTCTACTTCAAACTTAATTTAATTAATGATCTATATATACATAACTAATTTAACTACCCAACTCAACTCACTAATTAGCTTTGGCCGAATGCCTCCATTTTTTTTTTAGCTGTGTCCAACTCCAGCTATCAGACCCACCAACTCCAATATAATCTAGCTATATACTATAGATAAGATAATGCTAAACAAAACAAAAACAAACAAAAAACAAAGTATATACTAAACTTAATAATGTGATCATTGGGAAAGGAAGCTCAAGCTGGCTGGGTGGCTGCAGGTGGGACGGAAAGGGCAACAACCCTATTTGGAATAGTACCGCATGTGGCATCCATTTCCTTCATAAATATATATACTTAAAATGGAATTAGATCCAACCGCGCAAATTGGTCAAAAAGAAAAAGTCTGTTTCTCTTACTCTATCCTCATATATATATATTTTTTATGGTAGAGTGGATGTGGTATTTGTCAAATTTGTATGTCACGATATTTGTTATTTGCTATGTACATATTAATTAAATTTACTTAATATAAAATTTGAATCTCTCATTCTTCTCTGGATTTTCCATGTTCGTGACTAGTTTCCCCTTAATTGTCGGTTATTAATAATACTATATCACCCTTAACCAAAAAAAGAAAAAATAATAATGTTTGAATGAATTATAAGTAGTGGTATTTTCTATGTAGCATTTACAATTAATTAGTTTTTAAAATTTAATTTTATTAATTTGTCCTACTCTCCTTCCATCTCTTGCTTATCTTTATGCATATGTTACGGGGTTAACATGTATCGAGTTTTATACGCCATCTTAATGTAATAGTCTGTTTAAATTTCAGTTATAAAGTATTAAAAACATAAAGGTAAAAGAGGGGCAACCAAATAAAGCATGGTTACGAGGATAATTGGGGAAGAAGAGACAAAAGTGAAACTAAAAAGGAGAAGGTAGTTTGGGATTTACTAAAACAAAATGAAAGACATAATTAAAACCTCTGTTTTCAGAACCGGATCGGAGGTTGAACCGAAAAAGTTAATGGTTTAGATCATTGATAGAACCGTTAATGATATATAACATATAAGACTTGTATATTACACTCATTTAAAAATAAAATTATCATTGACCATAAACAAGTTCAAATTCATATCATCACGAAAATATCTAATAAATCATTCAAACCATCTCACAAAAGAAACCATATTTTTTAATTAAAATTTAAAATTACAGTTCTAGTTGGTAGTAGACAATGTAAATCGGCAATAAGGTTGAGGAAGCATATATAAAATTAATAATTATGATTTGATGGTCTTAGTTTATGTTAAAATATTCTTTTTGTTAAAATAGCGAACCAATGGACCAGTTAAACCGTGTCGGTTCATCTGATTTTATGTTGAACCGTGAAAAACCGTTTGGTCCATCAATAACCGTTCAAACAATGAACCGGACCGCTATCGTAACTGGTTTGAAAGTTCTACTGGCCCGACCGTTGATCCGGTTCGGTTCTTATAACAAAGATTAAAAACCCAAAAGATAGTAATTTGTTATTTGAGAAATAACAACGCTCCCACTAATATTTGTCAACTAACAAATTTATTGCCACCGTTCGATTCTAGCAGAAAATAGAAATATTATATACCCAATATGGGCAACTTTATCATTCAAATTTTTTTCTATTGCCACCAAATTTGGGCTCTTTCCCGTTTCTCACCACCATTAAAAAGCATTTCTACCTCACACTCTAACGGGGACATCGGACACCAAATTGGAAATCCGGCCGTCGGACTAGTTAGTACGTACGTAGAAATAGAATGGCTCTCTTGGCGACACGGTTGACAGCTCTCTACTCGGCGCTAGCCTCCTCGTTCGGCGTCATTTTGATCTGGACTCTCTACACCGGCGGCAACCCCGTACTGTTGGAGATCTACAAGCCGTAAGTCGCTCGCCCGTCGCCTTTGATAAGTTTGTTTCTTTTTTTCATTTCTTCAACAGTACGTACCCTATTATATATATATTGGATGAACACCTCAAGTTTTTTCGATCCTGTTGGTTTGCATTACGCAGATGGTTGCGTGCCGCAGTAGCTGAGTTAGAGATCAACTGTTTCACCTTTGCGGTATGATTAAACAGTACCTACTTTTTTCTCTTCTTCTTCTTCTTCTTCTTCTTCTTCTTCTTCTTCTTCTTCTTCTTCTTCTTCTTCTTCTTCTTTATGTTGCCGGCTCTCTTCAAAAAAGAAGACGATTCGTTAACCCGATAGTAAACTAGCTTTGACCTATTTATACAACTTAACTAAATAAACAAGCTTAACTTCTAAGACCAGTCCGTTTGAACCAAGACCTAGCTAGCTAGCTAGTCTATGACTGTAACCTGAAAATCATGACATTTCCCTCAACAGTGATGGATCAATGTTTTTTTATATAATATTTGAGATTTAGGTAACCGGAAAATCATGACATTTCCCGTCATATCTCTTACACTGAGTATTTTCTTTTTCCAGCAACAAAAAAGGTTCAGTTTATCTAATTATAACATGCACTCTCGTTTCAGCTCTGGACGGTGTACAAGGAGTCCAGCTACGTGTATTCAGGAATTTGGATATTTTTTATGTTCTGGACTGGCAGGTAATGAGCGAGCGTTTGCTAGCTAGCTAGCCGTTGTGCTTTCGATATTACTTTTTCCTCATGTAGTAAAATGAAAGAGAGAAAATCCAGAGCAAAGCTAAGTATAATATAAGATCATGATATCTTTGAGGTCCTTATATATGTTGTTTCCCTTTGGTGCAGCCTGGGGACTTGCAGCTATATCTTGGTTCAGTTTCTCAAGTTGTCACCTGAAGAATCTGCAGAAGATCCTATCTACCATGTGTTATTGCGGCATGAACACAAGTAAATTAACAAATTTAATTTGCTCCCAAGTCCGAAGCTTCATTTTTTTCTCTTGTCATTTTAAAACGTTTCATTTATCTTTGCATTTACCTCCGAAGTTTTGCATGTAGGAGCAACGAGGAACAGAAGGCAGCCGGGAAGAGGTGTCGTCTAGTGGTTGCTGCAACCAGAATTGCTTACCCCATTTTGGGTTGTGTGCTGATAGCAACTGTGGTTTACGCTGCGATGACGGATGGTTCTCCTTTTCGCAAAGAGGTCCTCCTGGCACCGTAAAGTCTATCTTGTACCTCTGATATACTACTGTATTATTATTATTATTATTATGATTGTCGTTGCTGTTGTCGTCGTCGTCGATGAATGAATGCAATATTTGATGTGTGTGTGTAGGTGGCAGACGACAACAGTGGTCGACTTCTATGTACACATTGTGGCTCTTTTGGTAAGTGCGCCTGTAACCGATTCTTTCTTGCCCAGGCTGAGCTCTTTCGAATAGATTTTCTTTCTTGAGTTTGATTTCTCATATTTTGAATCTGTTCCCAAATAGGTATGGGTTGTGTATAAGGAAACAAGTTGGCTAAGTGCTTCTCTGTGGATACTTCTATTTGTATGTTTTGGCAGGTAATTTTCATATTTTGAAAAAAAGGTATTGTTTTGGGGGCTTGATAATGAAATTCATAGTTTGAAGTTGTTGTATCATGAAATATAATTTATAAAATTACTATTTTAGAATCATTTAAATCATCGGTCCGCCTTATGTTTGATTATTCTCTTCTCTTCTCTTCTCATCTCTCTCTCTCTCTCTCTCTGCAGTCTTGCTACTTGTGCTTACATGACAAAAGAGTTGTTTCAACTCGGTTCTCAAGATCCAATGCACCTCATTTTGTTGAAACACATCAGCAGGCCTGCCAGACATCCTCTTCTTAGTTCGATCAATTCTATCCAGCCGCCAAGGGTGGTGTAAATTTGACGTGGGAGAAACAAAATAATAATAAGAATGTTATCGTAGATTGTTGTTGTATCCATCTCTAATATGATTTATTGTATATATATGTTTTGAGTACCCAAATATTTTCCTTCCTTTCCTTTCAGTCAAAACGGTAGAGGAAATTCGTGAGATCAATTAGTATGGTGATAACAATCAGCATTATATGACTTGATAGGTCAATCACAAGAGTTCAAACTTCAAACACTTTTTGTTTGGTCTATAAAATAGTGTTATCTTCTAATATATTACAATAGAATTATATGTAGTAGGTTTTCACCATTTCAAATTTGCTGATGATGATAGAACAAATTTAACGAACCCTTAATATTCATTTCCCCCAATTTATTTTCCATTTTATCCATTTCCCCCACCTTTTGTTTTTCTCACATATGAGATTGTTATTTAGACTTTTTACTCAATTTTAATTTTAAATTTTTTTTGTTATTTGTAAATTTTTAATTGTGAATCTTGTAACCAATACTAATACAGAGTTGCTTGCAAATCCTACATTAAAAAGTTAAACAAGAGATGGTACCAGACATCAAATTACTAGTTAATTAATAAATGGAGACAATAAGGAAGGATCCCCATAATATTATCTCCTCCTCCCAGGGGTCACAAAAACATGCATCAATACGATTAATAGCTCGAAGCTCATCCGAACAAATAGGTTAAACCTTGAACTAAATCAATTACATGATGCTATTGATAAAATTCGAACAAGAATATTATGGGTAATAGAAGAGCATAATTTTTCTACTATGCAACCAAACATGCCAAATTATAGATGCATATATATGGTTTAGGCTCATATACGTTATACGTTTGCGTTCACACTACCGTATGCCCGTTAAATTTTACTATTTAGATCACGAATTATCCGTAGTTTGGGGCATAATACACCCTAACCTATAATGGGTGAACCCAAGACGGTAATTCTCCAACCCAAACTATAAAATCCATTTCATCTGAAAAATAATTATCAATGGTTATATGTTTCATCAAAATATATCAAAATACATATAACAAGTGTAAACGCATAAATATAGCATATGTCAGGCGTACATTAACATTTTTCATATAAATATACTCACAAATAGTAATAGATGAAATAAAAACAAACAATTATCAATAGATATCCATGGATAATCGAAATCCAAACGATATAAATATAATTGTGATTTGCTACTCGAAATTTGTACACGTATGACTATGAATAAAAACACAAACTAGTGGGTCGGATACTGAATACGCATTATCTATTCCAAACCGACCATTACAATCCCTACCTAATGAGTCCTCATTATTATTTTTCCTCTTTTTTTTTTATAATGGTGATTAGAATGCATTAACCGAAAGGAAAGGGGGAAACTGTCCGAAGAGAAGGTAGTTCACAAGAGGTGAACTACCCGTCTCCACAATCAGCAGAACAAGAAAGAGAAAAAAGAAGGCGAAAACAAAAGGAACGGAGAAAAGAAATCCGAGCCAGAACAAAGGCGCGCAGCAAAAAACAACAACAAAAACAACAGGAGCAAACCCAACAAGTGGACCAGACCATTTCCGTGGGGTACACACGCTGACAAAGATCGTAAAGGGAAGGAAAACCAAAACAGCAGCAGCACCGGACCTCAGCAGCAACAACAACTCTGAAACATTGCCATGGAAGGAAGCTCCATAGAACATTGCGCTCTCATCTCCAGCAGGAAGCAACCGCAGCAGAAACCTCGTCCCACGACACAGCCAAAAGGACAAAAACTAAATCCTCGACAGTCTCTCTTCAATCCACTGCTTACCCATTCTTTTATCCAGCATACCACGAGCAACCGCCCATTACAAAGCGTCCATAATGGCCTTGCGAGAGACAATCCTGGGCTGCGTACTTTTGTCGTTAAAGATCCTATTGTTTCTCTCAAGTCAAATCTGCCAGCAAACCGAGTGAAGAGCACCAAACCGAATCCATCCATTTGCATCTCCTAGTGAAGAAGTTGTCCACCTACAAATGACTCCAAGAACTTCGTCGTGCGGAATATCCAAGACATTGCAGGCCCTCCTCGATCTTTGCCACACATCATTGCTGAACTCACACTGAACGAAGATATGATCGACAGTATCTTCTTCTTTTTTGCACAGCTCACACCTATTAGCTAAAAAGCAGCCCATCTTCTTGAGATTGTCAATAGTGAGAACCCCATTATGAGCCACGAGCCAAAGGAAGCAGCAGATTTTTGTTGGAACAAATGCCTCCACACAAACTCGGCAGGGAAATTGAGAACTCCCTTGAACCTTTCTCCCGCAAGGAACCTGTACATAGAACAAAGAGAGAAAGAGGAACAAATGCCTCCCACTAGAAACCCGCTCTAAACCACTCGAATTAAGCAAATTAATTAAATCAAGTCTCTCCCTCCCCCCCCCCCCCCCTTTCTCTCATATTAAAATTCAAAGGAATGTGCCAAGAAAAGGTCTCACCAGAGAGGGACAAGGCGTTACAAACCTGGGCATGCGAAGAGCTCGAGACAGCAGCAACTCTCGGGAAGGCATTAGCAAGCACCACATCAGGGATCCAGTTGTCATGCCAGAAGGAAGCTCACGCACCATTGCCAGGGTCATTGCTGACCAAATTCCAAAACAGGTCATAGTCCTTGGAGATGTTTGCCCAAACGGATACAGAGAAACCATATCTACATCTCACTGTGCACCAGTCTGGGGCAGGATTCTGATATTTTGAGTTTATGAGGGCTCTCCACCAGCCCCCCCTCTCTGTAGCAAAGCGCCACATCCATTTTCCCAGCAAGGCTCTATTGAAAGAAGCAAGGTCCAAAATTCCACGACCACCATGAGAAAAAGGAGCTTTGCAAATGTCCCAACTCACCAAAGGAATCTTCCGAGTGTCGCCCATACCGTTCCAAATAAACCTCCTCTGGATACCTTCCAAACATTTAATCACAGAGCAAGGGCCCTGAAAAGAGAGAAGAAGTGTACAGGCTGACTTGAAAGCATCGCTTTATTAAGAGTCAGCCTTCCTCCAAGAGATAACTATCTCCCTTTCCACCCTTCGAGTCTCTTCTGATACTTATCCACGATGGGATCCCATAACGAGGCCTAATTGGGCTTAGCCACAAGAGGAAAACCCAGATACTTAGAGACTTCACAACTCCAATTGCACCCAAAAATTGACGCAAAGAACTCGCAGTTTGGGACATCGCCCACGGTGAACATAAATGAGTTATCCAAATTAATTCTGAGACCAGTGACAGTTTGGAAGCACACAAGGGTGGCTAGGATGTTGATGACCTAATCATAAGCAGCATCACAGAAAATCAAAGTGTCGTCTGCGAAGAGTAAGTGAGTGACCTTGCCGCTTCCAGTGTCTTCATTCATATGAAATCCCTCAATTTTTCCATTGTCCCGGATCTTGGAGATCATAAAGGAGAACATGTCCATGACAAGAGTGAAGAGCCCAGAAGACAAAGGATCACCTTGCTTCAAACCTTTCTGAGCACCAAAATAACCTTTGGTCTCCCCATTGATGAGAACTTACAGCTTAATTAGGGCTGCACATGATACCCTAAATCCACTTATTCGAATGATAAGAGAAACCCAAGCGAGAGAGGAGGAGGAACATACAATTCCAGTTAACGTTGTCAAAAGCCTTCTCAATATCCAGCTTGAACATCAACCCTTAACAGAAGCCTGCTGATTTTTGGAGACAAGATGAGGGAGAACCGATCCCTATATATCTTCGAGAAAGGACTTTGCTAACAAGCTTATTAAAACTGTCTATCAAGCTAATCGGTCGCAGATCCCTAATATCTTCCACCAGCCCTTCCTGGGGACTAAGTAAATAAAAGAATGAGTAATGCAGTCAGGAAGGAAGCTTGAGCTATAAAAGTCACCAAAAGTTAGAAAAACTTCGTATTTGATCCAGCTCCAACATTTCTTGTAAAACTCTCAATCCGGACCCAGAGCCTTCCCCCATTGCTCTAAGACTTGGCATATCATACATACTAGGGAAGGACCTAAGAGGTAGCCTCTCTTGTAACAAAAGTCTTGTAATACCCAACAACACCCGTGGCAACTGTCTGCATCCCTTCCCTCAACCAAAACATTATTGATTGAAATGCTAGTAATTCGGTTAACCTTGCGCCTGTAGTTTGCAATTCGGTGAGCACACTCAAAGTAAGAAGTTCAAAGGAGTTCCCAACATCATCTGCATTTTTGTTTTTAGCTGAGAGTAATAGGCATGTACGCGCCAACTTGAATGGAATAAAAACAAGAGCCAAAATATTTCAAAGTGAATGTACAGTAAATTTGATTGGTATACTTTTTTTAATTTCAAAGTAAAAACAAAAGTAAATTGTCAGGCACGGAATATTTGTTAGAATTTTCACCACACCTGAAGAAACACATGTAAAACTTCCAAAATTGGTAAAAATAATACAGCTGGACTACTCATAAGAAAAAATAGTTTTTAGCCCACAGATGACAACCTTAAATAATTGGGAAGATTAATACAACTGGACTACCCTCATATAATTTTATTTTATTATTTTTAAAGTACACCAAAGGGAACAATTGTCCGATTAAAAAATTGGAATGAATATTACAACCAACTTGACTACATTCATAAGAATCCAATAATAGAAAGACGTTTGAATACACCATTTACATCGGCATCACACTTGTAGCTTATTCTAAGAAATAGTGGCACGCCAAAACAATAATACATCGCGATAGCTAGGAGAAACACATGTGCGAGTGCGAGAGATGAGATGGGATCAAATATGAACAACCGGTCCTTCACTGCTTAATATAAATCCCCAAGAAGTGCACCACGAAGAAGATCACAATCACTTCTCTCCGGCACCATATTGGTCTGCATAATATTAGCAAGCGAGCGATCTAGCTAGCTAGTTGAATTTATTTGTTGCCGGCAATATATATGGGTAGTCGGGAGATGAAGGATACAGCAGTAGTTGCACCAAAGGAAAAGGAGGTGTTTTGGCATGATATCGAGATGCAGCAGATGGACGGGTTTTGGTACATAGAGTCGTATATGAAACCCATAGCTGCATTCAAGTCCGGATTCCAGCCGAGAAGCGACGACATCCTCTTGACATCCATCCCCAAAACAGGAGCAACATGGCTCATGGCTCTCTGCCACAACATCCTCCATCCCGACGTTGACGAAAACGAAGACGCCCTCACGAAGATGAACCCGCACGAGCTGGTCCCCACCCTCGACGCCCTCTTCCTCGCCGACCAGATCCAAGAACTGTTGCTTCAAACGGGTCGCACCAGTCGTGTCTTCCACACCCATGTGCCTTACAATTGCTTGCCGGAGGCCGTGAAGAACTCCGGGTGCAAAATTGTACACGTGGCCCGGAACCCAAAGGACACTCTGGTCTCGATGTGGCATTTCTACCACGTTCTCTTCAAGAGCGACGCATCTCCCAATGCCCGATTCCCGCTCGAGAGAGTAGTGGAGAGCTTCTGCAACGGGGTCGTGCCTTACGGGCCGTTTTACGAGCACGTGGTGGAATATTGGGAAGAGAGCAAGAAGCGGCCCCAAGAGGTGTTGTTTCTCAAGTACGAGGAACTTTGCAGAGACCCCAAAGGGCAGGTTAGGAAGCTGGCTTCGTTTCTGGGGAAGCCATTTAGCCAAGATGAAGATCAAGGAGATGCTGAGCTGGAGAAGGTGTTGTGGAGGAGCAGCATCGGCAGGCTCCAGAATCTGGAGGTTAACAAGAATGGCATCTGGGAGCTACCAAACGTGCCCAAAAGCACCTTCTTCAGGAAAGGAACTGTTGGGGATTGGAAAAATAACTTAACGCCGGATATGGCTCAACGCATTGACGAGATGACACGACTCAAGTTAGAGGGAACCGGGCTTTCTCTTGATGATTTTTGAAGTACCATGATTCTAAGAGAGTCTTGATTGAGCATTACGGGATGGATGCAGCCGTTTTTCATTTGTTTTCTTTTTCGGGTGACTTTTACGCCAAGACTATCTAGCTATCACGGTTGGTTGTTTTCCTTATTTTATGTTTATGTGTTTGTCATTGACATTTTGTGTGTTTTGGTTCGTGTTGATGTTGAATAATAAGAATTGACCTATTAAATGGTTAAGCCATATATTTGTTTGCTAAAATTAATGTTCCTTGCTAAAAATGTGGAGATAATAGTAAATATTTTTAGGTGCACAAAATGTGTAGTGAGCATTTGTATATGAATTGTCCACTGATTATTTATATAAAATCAGTTACTTGGCACTAATGGTCCTTTAGGTTGTTGTATGACGTGTGAAAAATGAAAGAAACTTTTTGTAGATGACAACAATTTTCGTTTTTAGTGACTGTTTTATGGTTGGCAAAATATTAAAGGGTTACCCAATATTAAACAACAATATATTTCAATTTCGCTTGAGAGTATTCCCCACCGTTGTGCCATTTAGCTACCGTAAGTACAATAGTTAATTGTGATATCATTCCCCACCGTTACACTCAAGCTAATTACGAATTCATTCCCTACCGTAACTTACCCTAGGTAATTGTCTACCTATTCCCTACTGTTGCAAGACCAGTGGTTAGAAACAACTTTTAACGACTGTTCAAATGGTAGTTAATAAGGCGTAATAACTACCGTTTTTTAACCGTAGCCGATACTTTTACCTAACTACCCTTTAACTTTTACCTACGGCCATGTTAAGCACTGGATTTTTTTGTTTGGTTAGTTTTAGTGGTTGGGTTTGGTTTTGAATGATTTTGAAAAAGTTAATTATTTTAATATATTTTTTGCTGACATGGCAAGGCGATGTGGCAATTTTGGATGGAAAGTTGATATAGATAAACAGAATTACTAATTTGTTAGTTAGTGAAAACGTAAGTGACCAATTTGTTAAAATTGAAATGTAAATGACCGATTTGTTAAAATTGAAACGTAAGTGACCAATTTGTGAGTTACTGCAATCGTAAGTGACCTTTTATGCTATTAACCCTATCTGATATGGATGGTATTCCTGTGACTTTAAAAAATTAGTTAAAATGGAATTTGTGTCTCTTATTTTATCATCTCATTTACGGTTTCAGTGCAATCATACCTTATTATATAATGCAAAACTTTTGAGTGTAAACACAGTTGGATTGGGATATGTTTTAGGCAGGAATCAAATCTTTTGAGTGTAAGAGATCTCATCTAATCTTTGCCCATAATGCCATAATTAGCATGCGCGTTATTTAAATAAATAGACTCAGTGGCCGGGAGCTGCTGTTTCATGACTAGCCTCACAGTAGTCAGAGGTGTCAGCAGATAGCACCAAGCCTGAAATTATATAGACGAATTTTATTTTGCTTGCTGTTCGCGGGTGGCAAGAAATGAATTACATTTAAATTTTGATTGATAATAACTTAATATGAAATAATTCAGAAATTATGTGTAATGTATAGTAATGATATAATAGAGTTAGGAAAAGTATCGCGTTTAATTAAATTATTATGTAAAATTAATTTAAGCGCCACTGAACTGAAACACCGCAAGTGCGATTCATTCGTCAACAAGTATTTACTTAAACATAATGGAACCGAACATGCTCATTATTATATAGTTTAGTTTAAAAGATAAAATCAGTGGTTGAGGTGGGGATATGGATGAGCTAACGTTAATAAATTGATTAATGAATAAAAAGATTCCAGTAGGAAATTTCCACAACTGTTCGTTACTCTCCTGAGTGAGCAAGTACAGCTCTATTTTCAGACCATTCATATTTTTCAATTGGAGATCTTCAAGAATAACACATTCCCTAACTACCATATTTACACAAGTAATAGTGGATGTTACTTGTAAATTGAGTTAGCACTACTGACTAGCGATCATAATGTGTAATTTTCCTGTTTCTCTCAAGGTTGCTCCTGCTGTGTAATTTGCAGATAATTACTAGCTGTTTGTTCCTTCTTAAACCTTAATCCTTTTATTAATAAATATTTTTTTCATAATTTCCTCGTTACCAAACAAAAAAATTGGACTCCGACGACTATCCCCGCAAGAAAGGACCAAATCTTGATATCTGTCGGTTCATTGTGTCTAAAGGAGCACAAATTTTAGTTAATGTATGGGCTATAAGCCACGATCCGAGAATAACAAACACCAACAACCTGGGAGTCCCCGCCCGGCTGCCAAAACTCAGCAACCTTCACAATAATCTAGGCCTCAAGCCTCACAGATCATGGGCCGTTGATGAGCCTCAAACTGGGCCAAATGTTAGATACATCACTTTTCGCATTATATATACTAGAAAATTAGCCTGTGCTACGCTACGGTTTGAATTGTGAATTTGTAAGGAATAATTAACAAAGGATTAAAGTATATAGAATAATTTAATTTCACCATGTCAAATATATAAGGATTCTTAGTAGAATAAAAATAAGTGAGGAGGGCAGATAAAAATCTTAAACAAATTATGCTAGTTTTGAAATAGGGCACTACTCAAAAAATAGTCAAACAACCAAGGCCAAATGTCTAATCAGAGGCTTCAAGTAATCATATTCATAAGTCCACATAAGAGGTTTTCACTGCGGATAGCAAAAGATAATATTGTAGTTTCGTTGGTAACAATATGAAGAATAATTTCATTTATCAGTCTTCCTTGAGAAAAGAAACTTCTTGCTGTCTCTCTGTTTTCCACAACAACTTATTTATAGTTTAGCTTTTCATGGGAAAGTGATCTATAAATTGGGGAAAAAGCAATCCACACGGAATATATTTGAATGAGCAAATAAATCTACATATCATAAAAGAAAGAAGAGTTTTTTTACTGATCATGCAAAAGACCATTTATCAAACTATTGAACCATATTGCTAATTTGACATTCTAAGCAAGAGTGTTTACCTTTGGGGTCTCACCTTAGGCCCTGTTTACTTTCATTTCTGTTTCCTGTTTTTGAGAAAACAGATGTTCAAAACAGGTGAAAACAACATTTTGTCGTTTCCGAAAACAACAGGAAGTTGCCACTTTCTGTTTTCATAGTTGGAAACGAATAGAAAACAGAATGAAAAGTAAACAAGTTTTCTCGTTTCGGTTGCCAAATTTATGACATGAAAACAGAAAACAGAAAACGAAAATGGAAGTGAACAGGGCCTTAGGTTCGATCATTGAAGCTTTGGCTTCCAAGAATTAGGAGTTGCTATTAGTGAGGGATTCTTAAAGGGGAGAGGGAGAACTAATCCTCAAGAGTCCACCCACCGTCAGCGGTGAAGCTGAAGCCCACTAATTAATGTCCCCTATCTAACGCAGAACTGACTGAGTAGTAAGCAAGGAAATAGCAGATAACTTTCTTCATGGCTTCAATTTTAGAGAGAAGTAGAGTCAATCTGACACTGACGACTTCCATTTTTGTTGAGGTGAGGAAGATAGATCGACTGTGGAGCAGGCTCCTCTCCTTCCATTCGTTTCCCCTTCCAAATCCGTCTTCTTACATAGCCCTTTACTTTGCTTTCTTTTGATCTCATGGAAAAAAAAATGGGAGAAGAAAAGTGGTCCCAGAGTAGAATGTGAGCAGAGAAAGGATGGGGAAGAAAAAGTTTAACATGACAGATCCATCATCAAAGGGAGAGTTCTACATGAGAGAGGAGAGAGGTGGTAGTGGGTTATGATTTGACGTAGAAGAACAGAGAGAAGAGAGGGTTTGATTTGACCTAGAAGAATAGAGAGAAGAGGCACACGGGAATTTATGGGATAAGATTTTAACAGTTGAGATTAGTTTGATCAACGGTTGTGCTTAATCTGCCTAAAGGGCTATACATGGGTTTGCCGTGTAACCGGCCGCATCTGAGTTATGATCCTCCGTGAATAGTAACCTCCGATTTTTTCTTAATGAACAGTGCCCGATTTTTTTAGTTAACTTGTGACTTAATAATTTAACTAGCTTGTTACCCTGCCCTTTGGGCAGGTAGTTCTATACGTCTTTTATATTTTTATTTTCTTTTACTTTGTAATTTATAAAATATGGCATACATTTAAATTATTTATTTATTGTTTAATATACTTTTATTCAAGACAAAGTGAATAAAGTCTAGTTAATTTATTTAGTTGAATATAGAGATGCAAAATATTCAATGTATTCTAATTTATAAGTGATTTCGAAGAGATTTATCATGTTTTTGTTGTCGAAATTGTCACGCGTAATTATTTCGATAGCATTGTATCATTTTTTTTAAATTCAAAAGTTGTATTAAACAACTCGCCATTAAGAGCCTCATATTATACTATTGAACTTCGTTCATCCATGATTTTAGTAAATTTTGTGTCATAAATTGAAGATCTCCTGTCATTTACTTGGTTGAGGGGGGCGGGGGGAATTAAATTGTGCTTCCCTTCATCTTCGGTAATTAAAAATTCAAATCTATTTGCTAAACAAAATCACCCTCTTCAATTTCTGCAAGGAAAAGGCAAACAGAATTAGAGAAGTAAGTTTGAACGGAGTTCATGATGCTTTGGGTGATTAATGCATGTGATGTAGGATTTGAAATTTCTGCAAGGAAAAGGCAAACAGAATTAGAGAAGTAAGTTTCAACGGAGTTCATGATGCTTTGGGTGATTAATGCATGCGATGTGGGATTTGAAAAGTAATATAACAATGAAGAATTTTACAATGCTATATAGTATTGGTGCTATAAGTTTTTGTCTTTATGGTTATGATACAACTTTGGATAATACCTATATGTTGTTTGTACAAATTCTTTTATGGTACAACTTGAACTTGTACCTTTACGTGATGGTACAACTTCAAGTTGTAAAGTTGTACCATAACATAATGGTACAAATTCTTTTATGGTACAATCTAAACTTATACATTTCATGTTATGGTACAATTTTAAGTTGTACATTAAAGCACCAATACTATATAGCATAGTAGAAAATGCTCCTAGAAAAATATGATGCATGTTGATACGAAAGAAATATCAACCAAATTGCTACTGGAACTGTAAGGAAGCCGCCTATAAATCTCAAATATGCAACCTGCATGGAACAAAGATGTAACAGAACAAAACAAAAGAGAGAATTAAGTTGGATTTAAAATTATCTTGATTGGTTGAGTCTATATAATGTTGAATATCGTATCATATCCGAGGAGTATATGCATAAAAAATCAATAAAAAAGCCTATATATAAACGACGGCAACCCCCTGCTTTCATAATTCATATAATTAAGTTGTTCAATGTAGTTCCATCTACAAATGATGATATTTTTTTGGGAAATACGAATGATGATTCAAAGTGGAGAGATACTTCCTCAATTTTTTTTTTTGTTAAGGATGATATATATTAAAATTAATCTGAAAAAGATTACAAGATCCAACAGGGCAACGCAAGCCAAGGGACAAGAAAAAACAACAGCAAGGGAAGATCAAATGAAAAAGGCAGGGAAAACACCATAAACAGAAGCGAAGAGGGGCAAGAAGGCCCCGAAGAGAAAGGGAAAGGACAGCAAAAGACTACTGCTTCAGATGTCACTGGAGAGCTCGCCTAATCCTGGGAAGCAATCTGTTCTTGAGAGTCAACACCCAAGCCTCGGCCACATGTTTGTCGACTTTTCCTGCCGCGGACACCCAGCTTGCAATAAGGCACCCAATTCGAAAAGATGCGGCCAGAGGGGAAGCAGCTTCCCCCTTGAAGACTCTGGAATTTCTTTCCAACCATACTGTCCAACAAAACGCGTGTAAGAAAACCTTAGTACACCACTGCCAAGGGCTGGATGGCTTATGACAATACCACCGCATGATCCTTGTTGAGATATCGTCGTTATCAGTGATACTGCTTTCAATCCTGACGGAGAGATACTTCCTCAAATTACCAACGGAAATCAATTACCCTTCATCTAAGTAAAGTGATACAAATGGTTGGTGGATTTTTGGGCTACTCCTTCCCAGTGATTCACTACAAAAGTCGATGCTTACCGTAGAATCTAAATTTGATCAAGAACATGAGGAGAGAGATTGCAACTAACCAAATATCAGAGATGTAGAGATCGAGGGAGGGAAGACGGAGGTGCTGAAGCGTCGGGGCGGTCTCCAGGCGTGAAGAAAAACTAATGCATTTGGAAAGAATGATATGGCGGAATTATATATATAACATAAAGGGTCTAGAACCTGGGAATAAAATAAAAAAAGGCAGTTGTTGGGGCGGATGAATCATGCAAATTTGAGGGGAAAGATCCAACTGCCGTGATAAAAGAAAGAGGGAGATGGTAGTTAGGGATGGGGAGGTGGGATTCTCAGGACTCAGGATGGCTGATGGTCTTTTTTTTTTTTTTTTGGAGGGAGGGTTTTTCCGCCGAACTGAGAGGAAAGAGATTTTTTTTATGGTTGACGTGGCAGCGTAAATTCTCAGGAGGGCTGATGTGGCAGGGGTCAGAATCTGAAAGTGCTTTAATATATTTTAAGATAAGATAATTCTATTTTTTTTGTGATTATTTATATATTGTGCTATTTTACAATTATCATTTAATTGTTTTGAGGGGGTATTTATCTTATTTGGTATTTTTCGTAATCGGTTTAATTATGCGTAGTTTAAGAGAATTTATTGGGTTATTTTTTTTTATCGTATTTGTTAATAATGATGCATTGTTAATTTTGGCAAGCTACAATTTAATAATTCTTCAGGGATTTCTGATAGAAGAGAAGGCGGTATCGTTGATGGTCGTCAACCTAAGGATATGATCTAGTCGATATCCTTTTAGATCTTGAGGCACAATGTGACCAACAAGCATCCTTGACCTCAGAAGCAATCATAGCTAGCAGTCATTTCGGTGAGATTATGATGATCAGCTTTACAAATGTTAATCTTGCTATCATGATTTGAAGTAGTTGGATTCCGATCGAGAGTTTAAGACGGCATCCACCACTTCGATCGTGTACTTATTCTGAGAGAAACCATATATAGAGGCGCGCGGTTGAGTTTGGTGGGTATGAGATCACTCACTGCAGGTTGTTAATGCACATAGGCTATTGCAAGAGACTCCTGATATTGAATGGAACCCGAGAAATTCAATCGCGATTGATGACGACGTGAATGATAATAAGCGATTGAATTTTGAGATGGTAAGGAGGAGCTGTCCGTCCTGGGATATATGCTATTTGCAGTGGCTATCATCAAACACGTGCTAGCTAGCGAATTTACTCTACTATTTTGATTTGATTGGAAGCTCCCGACAAATTAAGAAGACGCACGCGCGTCAGAGAGTTTGGACATAATTTGTGTTTGATTCGGCCTGTTGAATACAATGCGATGCGGTGGATCCAGACATAGGGTTGATTGAGCCATAGATCGAGTAGAGGGAAGTGCCGTTTGTTTTGTGCCTTTGGGTCTTGTTTTATTTGTGACCCCCCGGCCCGAAAGGAAAAATTGCTGGTAATTTTTCTCCATAGTGATGGGAAAACATGACAGTAGGAATAAGGGAGATCAGATATAAATAGCTTGAATGAGAGGAATTTCAGCTAGCTAGCAAATTCCCTTGGCCCTGGCCGCTACTAGCTTGACCTGAACTGAGGAGAGGACCTCTGTCAGCCCTGCCGTGGTTGCGTTTCAACAAAACTAGGTAGGCTGGATCTTGAGAAGTGAGTTGGAACAGCTGTTTTGTCATGTAAGCACCGAAAGCAAGACTGCAGAAAGAGAGGTAAAAAAAGTAGTCAACTACTCCATTGATGGGTGCACACATGCAAATGCAATGAAGGAAGTACCTGCCAAGACATATGAACAGAACCATCCACAGGGAGACACTCAGCCAACTTGTTTCCTTATAGGCAATCCACACCTATATATATATATATATATAGATTGAGAAATAATGGATACTGGATAGGGTACACATGATATATATATATATATATGAACCTGCAGCCCTAGCTAGCTAATTATATATTAAGAGATTGATCATTAATTTGTAGACTTACCAGCAGAACCACAGAGAGATAAGAGTGGTCGATCAGTGTTGTTATCACCCACCTACATACGATACAAATGCATGTATGTTTGATGTTTGTTCAATTTGCAGCCCCTTAATCACATTCGCTAACAAAAGTGACTTGTTTTTGACATTGAAATCAATCTTACGGGGCGAGGAAGACCTCCTTACGGAAAGGAGAACCAGCAGTGAGAAGAGAGTAAAGCAGAGTTGCAACCATCAAACAAGTCAAAACTATGAAGCCAGCTCTTGCAACGCCCACTGAAGCAGACTTCTTCTTGCCCTTTGCTTCCTCGTTGTTCCTACAGGAAGGAGAGATGCTCTGAATCTGATCTCGTATATCTTAATATATAGTCACTTTGAAGATCGATCGAGTTGAAGAGAAGAAGCTCACCTGTGTTCATGGCGCAACAGCACATGGTAGATAGGGTCTTGTGCAGATTCTTCAGGTGACAGCTTGAGGAACTGAATGAAGATGTAGCTGCAAATCGCCGTGCTGTACGTACGTATAATATATGATGCACAAACACAAGGCACATATATATAATTAAGATCTTCAATCTATACATGAACCCACTAAGCCATATCTATCTATTGGCGAATCAGATCGTACTGTATAACTGAAGCGCAGTAGCTAATTAACAAACTTACCAGCCAGTCAAGAATATGAGAAATGTCCAAATTGCTGAATGCACAAAGCTGGGTTCCTTGTAGGCAATCCAAACCTGAAACAGAGAGAGAGAGAGAGTGTGTGTGTGTGTGTGTGTCTGTCAACTGCTGATAACACTAGAACAGATGGAGCAATTAAATCACACGAAGCCGAGGTAAAAACTAAAAAGCCAAGCCAGTTGGAAAAGAGCAAGAAATCGTGAACAGAAATGAAAGCTCCTATAATAATAATTAAATTATACCGCCAAGTAGGACATGTGGATGTAGATCTCAATGAAAGCGGCACACGACCATCTGCGCGCGCATTCAATTGGAAGAGCAAACACAAACAAGTAATTAACAAGGCAAATAAATGGTGAGGATAGATATGGGGGTGGCGGCTGGCTTTTAGTTCAGTGATCATTGAGATTAATTACGTACGTGGTGTAGGTGTCCTTGGTGAAGGGAGGATGGGCGTAGTAGCAGTGGAAGATAATGGGGCCGAACGTGCAGGCTTGTACCAACAACAGAGTCCTTAAGCCGCCGGCGAGACCCATCCTACTACCTACAACTACACTAGTTCCGGCGGACTGAGAGGGGCATATAATATAATGGCCAATCAACGGCAGCTGGCGCTTGTGTATATACTTGTTTGTTTGTTTATGTTTTTTCTTTTTTTTTTCCTTTCCACCGACTTTTCCTGGGGTATGTTCAACAACTTTTTTATTATACAGTTATCATTTTCTCCATGCGATTCGACTCAAAATTGTTTCACTTTTCTTTTGAACTACAATGAACATAAAAACAAATGACTTTTTGTCAAAATTTTAACTTGGTATGCTAAGAGGCTCTAAAATTAGTCTGAATATAAGCTTTCATAAATTCATCTTAATTATGCCCATTATATAAACAAATCTATGAACGACAATACAAGGATTAACTATATATTTTTCAATTTTATATCGTTTATATAGGCTTATTGATAGGAACCACCATAAAAAAATGAAAATGGATAACCCTTTTTATTTTTTGTTAAATATAAGTAGATAACCCTTTTTTAAGAATGAAAAGTAGGCAACCCCAATTAAACAAAACAAAACACAAAGGAATATTTCGATTGCGGTCCAGCACATGGCCATTAATGATTCCAGTTATGGACAAATTATTTAAAAACAATAGGATTCCAAAACGGCATATGCGATGCGATCCACCAAAGATTTGTTATTGCCTTTTGCAAACCGATGCAGACAGCGCCTTAAGAATGACAGTGGCCCATGGTTAGGACTTGGGATGGTTTCATATACATTTCTTAAAATAGTAATTATCTCCATAATAAAAAGATAGACCTCATATATCAATACTTATCTCTAGTTTGAGAAAAAACCGGACAATCATATCTTAAATTCCTGTGCAATAGTTTTTAAATTACATCTAGAGCCTTTAGATAAATGTCGTATTGGGGGTCGGATACTATGCTAACCCCTAAAGGGGTAGTGGTTTTTGACACCCTCCTCTTGATTGGTCACTTTTCCATTTAAGCTTTTTACTTTATTTATTGTAATCTTGTAAATTGGGAAAGCCTTAATTGTGATAATAATTATGAATGGGGAAGGAGAAAAACGTTGGTAATTATGAATGGGGAAGGATCTGGGGAAAAACGAAATCACCTCCATTAATTACATAATTAATTTCTCTCACTGGTACATTAATTACACTTACCACTCCACTGGTACACGTACCAGTGGAGTGGTACGTGTACCAGTGGAGTGGTACGTGTACCAGTGGAGTGGTACGTGTAACCATATGTCCTGTTTAGGCTTAAAAAATTGTGAAGACTTTATGTTTATTCACATTCGAAGGATAATTTATTGCTTTTGGCATTGTTGTTGGCATTTCCCTAATTTTGCAACCCATTTTGGAACACAGTTTTTGGCTACTAATGGAAAGTTCCTATTTTTTCCCTATTATTGTTTATCATTGTTATGAAAAATATCATTGCACTGGTATTGTTCTCACTCTAACCTACCTTGTGGATTGCTCGCACCAGTGGAGTGGTACGTGTACCATTGGAGTGGTACGTGTACCAGTGGAGTGGTACGTGTACCAGTGGAGTGGTACGTGTACCAGTGGAGTGGTACGTGTAATTAATGTACCAGTGAGAGAAATTAATTATGTAATTAATGGGGGTGATTTCGTTTTTCCCCAGATTCTTTCTCTTTTCCAATGTGGTGAGAGACCCCAAATTACAAGATTAAAAAAAATAAAAAATCAGTTTAATTAATACTTGCCAATGATTGGAAATAAAATTGGCCAATCATAAAGGGGGTGTCAAAAATCACTACCCCTTTAGGGGTAGTCACGCTAACTGATCCCTGTCGTATTGTAATCAATTTTGGATTTGTACAATAGCTTTTGAGTTTGTGTTGTAAAATGTGTTTTTGAGGATTTTATCATTGGATTAAAGAGTTGTTTGGCGGGAACCTTATAGTTTTGAGTAGAGCTCTTGAGAAACATGGCCTAACACACATAATTAATATTGATAAATGATGAAAACAAAGGACAACGCAATTTATTTCAAGCAGTAGAATAACTGAAACAGTAAAAAAAAAACACGGACAAGAGGGATAGAAAGGATACAGATACAGTTTCCTATCAATAGGAAAATTAATATTACAGTCAGCTAAGCTGCTTGATGGTGGTATGGGATGGGAATGATGACCAAATCGTTTTTCCTTCTCAAATCCAAGCCCAATCTTTCCTCCATGTCCAAATCTTGGGGCTTCACTCCATTCGCGAGTTCCCAATCAAAATGATAAAGTAAATTTGCGAGTACAAGTTTAGCAATAGTAGTCCCGTAATGTACACCAGGGCACATTCTTCGTCCAGCTCCGAATGGGATGAATTGAAAATGGAGGCCCTTATAATCGGTGCAAGTATTAAGGAATCTTTCTGGATAGAAAGTTTCGGGATCGGTCCAGTGATTGGGATCACGTCCAATGGCCCATGAGTTGAATATGACCTTGGTCTTAGCCGGTATTCGATACCCTTGGATCACCACTGTCTCTTGATTTTCTCTTGGAACGTTTAAAGGGCCAGAAGGATGCAATCTTAGTGTCTCTGTTACTACTAATTGTAGATAGTGCAACTGATTAATGCACGCTTCATCTACAATATCTCCTTTCCCGTTAAATACCAGCTGTCTCACCTCGTCTTGTGCTTTTTTCATGATTCTCGGATTCTTCAACATCTCCGACAATGCCCATTCTATCACGGCGTTCCATGTGTTCGTTCCAGCCATTAATATGTCCTGTAGTTTATACATAAATAAATATATGTATGTATGGAAAGTAATAAACAGGGCGGGCTGGGGCTACTCACGAAGATGACAGATTTAATCTCAACGTTGGTAAAGGGGAATCCGAGATCCTTGTTCTCCTTGAGATTGAGAAGAAAATCAACTAGATCTTGATCTTCTTCTTCTTCTTCATCGTTCATGGCCGCTGATGATCTTTTTGCTTCATGGTCGCTGATTATGGTTTCAAGGATGGCATCCACAGCGGCGTGGAGCTTCTTGAGCTCGGCGTGGGCACCCGTGAGACGCCGCAGCAAGTCGCTGGAAGGGAACATGTCGACGAGGCTGAACCCTCCCAAGGCCTTCATCAGCTGTTTGGTAAGCGAGAAGAAGAGCCCGACTTGCTCCTGTCTCACAGCGCTCATCCCCAGGACCACGCGGGAATTGACGCAACTCCCCAGGTCGAACAGCACCACGCTGAGGTTGATGGGCCCAGCAGCAGCAGCAGCAGCACGAGTTTGGGCGACCAGCTTGCTGACCTCTTGCTCCATGGTGGGCTGGAGTATTGGGCCAGACGACGTCCTCACAAGCCCATGCAGACGTCAAGGCTCATATGGTCCATGCGGACGTGTTGGAGACGGCTGTCTTTCCTTCTCCTACACGTACCAGTAATCCTCATTGTACCCTAGATGAATTTGATGAGTTAGGGTATAAATATGTGTGTAAGGCCATCGGCCAAAGCAAGCAATAAAATCACCATCTTTCCACCGTGGATGTAAGCCTCACCAACGTGAGGAAGAACCACGTTAAACCAAGTGTTCGTTTACTTTCAGCTAAATTTCACATGGTATCAGAGCTCTAAGTTCCAGTTCCTTCTTGTCATCAGTCCGCCATGACTATCGGCGCCGACGACACCAAAAACAAGGGAGTTTCCTCCAGCTCCACCGACGATGTCCTTCCGTCGGTCCTTCAGCTGCATAGCTCCGACAACCCCGGTAATATGCTGGTCGGGGAGATCCTTACGGCATCCAATTACGGGGAGTGGTCCCTCGACATGAAAGATGCCCTTATTGCCAAAGACAAGTATGGTTTTGTCGATGGAACCATCCCAAAACCCACTGATCCTCGCACGTTAGCTGCCTGGACGCGTTGTGACGCCATGGTGAAGGGTTGGTTGAAGACATCTATGGACAAGGAGATACGCAGTAGTATCCGATTTGCTGAACATGCATCAGAGATTTGGGCGGATCTTCGTGCCCGGTTCGGTCAGGGAAGTGCCTCGCGTGCTTATGAGTTGCGTCGATTGATTAGTCTTCTGCAACAGGAAAAGCACACTGTTTCTGCTTTCTACACTAGTTTGCGGTCATTCTGGGAAGAGTCGGCCGCCATTACTCCTTTGCTCGCTTGCACTTGTGGTCTCTGCACTTGCGATATCTCTCGCAAGGCTCGTGCACAATTAGAGAGTGCACGTTTATTTGATTTCCTCATGGGTCTCGACGATGCGTTCGGAGCAGTTCGCACTCAAATTCTAGCTATGCGACCTACTCCGACACTCGCGGAAGCCTTTCACATGGTTCTCACCGAAGAACAGCAAAAGAACATTACTCAAAACCGAAAAACTCCAGCTGAGGCGGCTGTTTTTGCAGCAAAGGGTGATACTGATCGCCCTTCTCATGGATCGGGGGATGCTCGCGGTACGGGGGAGCAGCGCGACCGGCCGAAGTGTACGCACTGTCACCGTCAAGGGCACTCCCGCGAATCCTGTTACGAATTAATTGGATACCCACCTGGGTATCGCACTCGAAATCGTCAAGGGGATCGCAACCAAGGAGACCGGAATCAGCAACGTCGCAATCGATCGGCTGGGGAAGGCTCCCAACGCGAACCCAAAGCTTCTCAGGTAGACGCAGAAGCAAGTTCGGTTCCCGGCTTCACCGCAGCTCAGCTAGAGCAACTGAAACAATTTTTTGGTTATTCGGGCAAACCTTCTGATGACCCGGCAGCTCACATGGCAGGTATGGTTTCTTACGACTCTGAATGGTTATTAGACTCTGGCTGCAATGAGCATATTACTATGGATGAAACCATGTTATCTAGCAAAGAATTACACACTGATGGGCAGCCAGTTCGCATCCCTAATGGGGATAGCATACCAGTTAAGCATGTGGGTTCAGTAAAACTCCAGGAGGGTCTTACCCTGGGACGAGTACTTCATGTTCCTGAATTTCGATGTAATCTCATCTCTGTGAGTCGGCTGACAAAGGATAACCGTGTGGCTTTGATTTTTCTTGAAAATTTCTGCATCATTCAGGACTTACATTCCAAGAAGTTGATTGGGAAGGGTGAGTTGCGAGATGGCTTGTACTACTTGCGTTTGTTTGGAGCTGGTCAGACGCAGGCATGTGCGGCACAAAGGCGACCTACCATCACCGAAGCTACATGGCATGCCCGTTTAGGGCATCCTTCCATTGAAAAACTTTCATCTCTTAGTTCACTATTGGGTGTGTCTTTCAGTAATAATGGACCATGTCATTCTTGTTTGAGGGCTAAGCAGACACGAGAGCAATTTATTTCTAGCACTATTAAGACAAAGTCTAAATTTGATCTTATTCATGTTGATATTTGGGGAGGATACAAGGTTGCATCCCTCAGTGGTGCTCATTATTTCCTAACGATCGTTGATGATTATACTCGTGGAGTTTGGGTTTATCTTTTACGGTACAAGTCTGATGTTGGTAAATTTTTGATGCAATTTTGTCATATGGTTCGCACGCAGTTCGGTTGTTCTGTTAAGCGTATTCAGGCGGACAATGGACATGAGTTCAACACCGACGATTTACGCGCCTATTATGCGCGAGAGGGTGTTCTTCTTCAGACATCCTGTACAGATACCCCTCAGCAGAATGGAGTGGTTGAGAGAAAACATCGTCATATCCTTGAAACAGCTCGTGCCTTGAGGTTCCAAGCCAGTCTGCCTGTTAAATTTTGGGGAGAATGTATTCTCACAGCTGTCTATCTTATTAATCGTCTCCCGACTAAGGCCACGGGCAAGAGTCCTCATGAGATGCTGTTTGGTAAGATTGCTCCTTATCATCACCTCCGTGTGTTTGGGTGTTTGGCTTACTACAAAGATACTCATGCACATCTTGATAAGTTTGCTGATCGGGGTCGAGCAGGAATTTTCTTGGGTTATGCAGCAACCCAAAAGGGTTACCGAATTTTTGATCTAATTTCCAGGCGGCTCATAACCTCCCGGGATGTTATATTCCACGAGCACTTGTTTCCCATGCAGGATGAGACTCGGCATGAACTTCACTGGATACCCAGGCCGATTGTTCCTTCCCATGAAGACACCAATATAGCTTCTCCTCTTCGTCCCATTAATGATCCATCCCCAGATCAGTTTGGGCCAACCTCTACTAGAGAACGTGAATCCTTGGGCCCTGGGGCTTCACAAGAGCCCACATCACCCACTTCTGTTCGGCCCATTGAGTCCACACCTGGGCTGCACACTTCCTCTCCTGCCGACAGCGGGTCTTCTTCCGCAACGTCACCAACACGTGACACTCCACAGCAGCGCACGCCTCCTCAGCCAGAATTGCGACGAGGTGATCGCGAGCGCCGTCGGCCCAAGCACCTGGAAAACTATGACACCCAGTTTGCGGGTTCAAGTGTACAGGGATGTTCCCAGTCTCTTACCCATTATCCACTTGCTGCTTATGTTGATTATTCTCGTTTTAAGGGTACTTATCGATCTTTTCTTGCAGCACAAACTCGCTATGATGAACCTCGCTACTTTTACCAGGCAGTTCGAGAAGCTTGTTGGCGCGAGGCCATGTCACGTGAGATTGATGCGCTTGAAAAGAATGGCACTTGGAGTCTTGTTTTCCTTCCACCAGGCAAACGTGCTATTGCCTCAAAGTGGGTGTACAAGATCAAGTTCTTTCCCGATGGGACTATCGAAAGATACAAAGCTCGGTTAGTGGCAAAAGGTTATACTCAGATTGAAGGGCTTGACTTCCATGATACCTTTGCCCCCGTAGCTAAACTGGTCACCGTACGCTGTCTTATTGCGGTTGCGGTTAGTCGCGGTTGGCATCTTCATCAACTCGATGTCAACAATGCCTTTCTACATGGTGATCTACAGGAGGAGGTCTATATGGAGATTCCTGAAGGGTTCAGAAAGCCTGGTGACACACGAGTTTGTCGTTTGCATAAATCGATTTATGGACTTCGCCAGGCATCCCGCAACTGGTACCAGAAGTTTACATCAGCGCTTTGTAGTTTTGGTTTTCGATCTTCGGCTGCTGATGCGTCCCTCTTCATCTACCAGCAAGGCAGCACCATGGTCACGGCTTTAATCTATGTTGATGATGTTATTCTTGCGGGAAATGACTTGGTTTTTATGGAGCAGGTAAAGAAATTCTTGAATGATCAGTTCAGCATCAAGGATCTTGGTCCGCTTCGTTATTTTTTGGGTATTGAATTGGCGCGCATTGCCAGTGGAGTTGTTCTCAGTCAGAGAAAGTACGTGTTGGATATTCTCGAAGATGCTGGGGTACAGGGCACTCGCCCCAGCGCATTCCCTATTGAGCAAAATCATCATCTGACACGTGTCACTGCAGATCCACTCCCTGATCCCTCGGTATATCGTCGTCTCGTGGGTCGTCTCCTCTACTTGACGATCACACGACCCGATATTACTTATGCAGTTAACATCCTGAGTCAGTTCGTTCATGCTCCCACTCAACAGCATCTTGATGCAGTGTTTCGCGTCCTGCGTTATCTGAAGTCTTCACCAGGTCAGGGATTATATTTCCCTAAAGACAACTCTTTGCGTCTCACTGCTTATTGTGATGCGGATTGGGGAGGTTGCGAGCAATCTCGTCGTTCTACTACAGGTTATTTTATCAGTCTTGGGGGTGCGCCCATTTCCTGGCGTACTAAGAAACAACGGGTTGTTGCCCGTTCTTCTGCTGAAGCTGAATACCGTGCGATGGCAAGTACGGTGAGTGAGCTTATCTGGTTACGGTGGTTGCTTCGAGAACTTGGCGTTGAGCAGACGACTTCTACTCCACTCCACTGTGACAATCAAGCAGCACTTCATATTGCTAATAATCCTGTTTTCCACGAGCGGACTAAGCACGTGGAGATGGATTGCCACTTTGTTCGTGAACGTGTTCAGTCTGGTGACATTTTGCCAGTGAAGGTTCATACTGATCTCCAGCTGGCTGATATTCTCACCAAAGGTCTCGGTGCTGATCGCTTCCATTTTCTTCTCTCCAAGATGAGCGTTCGAGATCTTCACGCCTCATCTTGCGGGGGAGTATTGGGCCAGACGACGTCCTCACAAGCCCATGCAGACGTCAAGGCTCATATGGTCCATGCGGACGTGTTGGAGACGGCTGTCTTTCCTTCTCCTACACGTACCAGTAATCCTCATTGTACCCTAGATGAATTTGATGAGTTAGGGTATAAATATGTGTGTAAGGCCATCGGCCAAAGCAAGCAATAAAATCACCATCTTTCCACCGTGGATGTAAGCCTCACCAACGTGAGGAAGAACCACGTTAAACCAAGTGTTCGTTTACTTTCAGCTAAATTTCACATACTTTCAGCTAAATTTCACATGGAGGGACTTGACCCGCGTGGCGCCCAGCAAGCCCATGTTGCAAACCTTCCTCATCTGCCTCCAGTACTCGCCGTAGGGCGTGAACCCCATGTCCCGGCCGCCGTAGAATATGATGCGGGCAGCGGGCAGGAGGGGCCTGTCGAGGAAGTGGACGTCGTGGGTTTGCAACAACAGCTTGGCCCACTCGGCCGAGGAGACCACCACGATCGGCACCTCCCCGAACCGAAGGCGCATCAGGGGCCCATGTTGCTTGGCCAGGTCCCTCAGCCGCCGGTGTGGGACCGACGATCCAATGGCCATCTGGTGCAGGTTCCCGATCACGGGCAGCGCCCATGGTCCTGGAGGCAGCCGGGCAGGTGGCTTAGACGAGGAGGACGAGGAGTTTGACGGCCTTTTCAGGAGGGTCAATATTGATATGATGAGAAGACTAGTAGTGACTAGTATTGTGAAAGAGATGGTGATCGTGGCCATGGTCGACCAAGGGACGACCTCAATTCCTAGTGTTTTCTCCATTCGATCTTATAATTACCCTGTCGAGTGAGTTCCAACAATAATATGTTTTGGAGTTTGATTTGCAGTGCAGCACTTTATAATAAGCCGTGGGACGACTGAGAACGCAAGCGCGGGAGGGAGGGTGAAAACGCTTATTTGATTTTCAAGATATTTCAATACTGTGCTTAGTAAAATTAATTCTTTCAACGATAAAACATTAATTATACAACATTTGCTTCGAAGTGAATAACTATCATATATATATATATATATATAATATACTTACTAACAACTTGAGTTATTGGAACTGGGATGATCAGTTGATTCATGACATGTTATCAAAGCTAATTTATTTTTTGAGGTTGTCCTAAAACACTTGATATGGCGTTTGGGGAGGGCTGTGCTACCCATTAATACACTAGTAGTATACATGGGAACCAGGAAGAGGACGAAAGTAGCCACAGCCCACAAGGCTGGAAATCCAAGTCCCCTCGTGAAGAGGAGTAGAGAAAAAGATACAGGTTTGATCAAAATACAAACTCACATTCGTCACAATACAAACTCAAAATACTTTACTTGTAATTATTATGATCTATCCACCATCCTCCTTCCCTCTCTAGCGGTCATGCCAATGACTTTTTGAAGCCCGAAAAATGGTTGGCCCGATTCTAACCGGCCGGCTGGTCAAAATTTCACAACCTTGATAAATCAAACCTTTATTAAAAATAACTACAATAATAATTAAGCAACACAAGTCAGGACCTGATCTGTATAAGTTTATTTGCGTTCCAGCTACACATTCTCCATCATGATTCCAGGAATAGAAAACACAAAGGAAAGCAAAGATTCCAGGACAAATAAGAGTGGTTGCCGACACTGAACAGTGACAATTAATTAATTTTATTATTATTAATTGGCAAGTGGTACAGTTGGACCAAAGCCAAGATTTTTGCTTCTCCCACAGGCCATAGCTATAGCTATAGCTAGCTAGTTTTCACATGGATCGGATGAGCTAGCTACCAGGCCGAGAACATGCTGCTCCTGAAATTTATTAAAACATTTCAGCTTTATACAAAATAGCAGCCTGTAACTTGAGAATTGATATCGAACGAATTAAACTTATTTGCGGTTTACAACCGCAATGGCGCAGTTCAGGATTAACCGGACCGCGAATCACAAGCCGCTAAATAGTCAGACCACATCCTTTATCGTGCTTTGGATTGACCGCAAAAGCGATTCGATGTGATTTGGACCTGTTTGACCGTACCAATGTGACCACCCCTAATTATTAGGCAAGATAATGGTCTGGGCGTGGACCCGGAACATTATTTTCATTTACTCTAATAAATCTTGAGAAGTAACCATCCCAGAACCCTAATTGGATCAGGTAATTCCAAATGTTTAGTGTTTATGATCTTATAATGGTGCCCACTTGAAAATTGCACACATTTGAGATGATGAAATGATTTAAAAGTAAAAACTTTGATAATTATGGTACCTTTAGATTATAAAACGATATAGTGAGTCCCTTTCACAATATCATTTTGACAAGTATTTTTATGAGTTTTCCTATTCTACATATAAGACTATTCGTCCTAACTTATTTTAATTACCAATAATGCATCAAACTAAGTATCCATGAAGAAAAGTACAACTTTTTAAGAAAATTTATAAGATCAAAATAAATATATTGTAACAATCTAAATCAAACGCCAACAAATGTATTGATTATGAATAATTCAATTTAATGCATCTCACGAAGATGTTTATCGGTACCCGCCGCAAAGCGCGGGCCAATTATCTAGTATTAATAAAATAACACATGTCAGTCAAGCATTAATGGAGCGGTGCACAGTCTAGTGGTATGCCGGTTGCACCGAAGAATTTCTCGATTCTCTAACTTCAATAAAAGGGAAACTAATGATATATACGAATAAATAATTATATGCCTAATCCTAATCTGGTAAACATTTTTAGGCAAGATAATGGTCCATTTGAGCCACCAACTTTATTAAAAGGGAACTAAAGATATATAGTTCTATACAAATAAATAATTATATCGCTAATCCAAATCCGATAAACACTATTGGGCAAGATAATGGTCCATTTGAGCCACTAACTTTACTAAAAGGGAAGCTAACGATATATACAAGTAGATAATTATATCCCTAAAACTAATCCGGTAAACATGTCGCCAGATCTAACTTTAGTAACAATTTACTGAATGGGGAAGACTTTTATTTTATATGAAAAAGTAGGAGCATTGTCCATACAGATCGATAGTGTTAGCTACAAATAATAATATCTGATTTGGAATTAAAGAGATTCCAAGACAAGTCAAAGTGGTTGCATGTGCGTACTCATCCGTTATAATTAATTATATTTAACTCATTATTATTTAATATATTAAAAAGGGACAAATGATCCAGCAGTGCATTATCCTAAATGATGCACCATATTTTTTATTTATGGATTATGCAATATCTTGTGTGGGCTCAGTAGTTGTGGTGGCATATCCCAGTTATTGGCCACCGGAAAACACTGTCAATCTCCGGAAGTTTATTGCTGACGGCACAACTCAGACATCTAATCACCAGAGACCAGATGCCAGAAATCTAGAGACCGACTGACTACAAACGTAATTAGGGCAAACGAACATTTTCTTTACGTAGGACGAAATCACTCCCAATTAATGTTTGCAATTTATTTCAAAGGAAAACCATACATGCATATATAATTAGAATATTGGATGGATCGATCTTGATGAGGTTCAGAGCGGCACAGGGTGGACGAAGAGGGCGGCAATGCGTTCCTTCAAAAGCTGGGGATAGGTGAAGGCATCGGCCTTGAGATAAATCACACTGATCGATCTGGCGAAGTTGATGACCGGAGACAACAAAGGCGTCGGGAACGGGGTTGGTTTGTGGCAGCACATAACCTCAGTCATGTCTTTCCAAGCATCTGAAATCCGGCCCAGCAATACCTGTATCGCCTCCTCGTCGGACACGCCGTGCTCCTTCACGTAGCACTGAACCGCCGACGCCACGTGCAACCTCTCTTGCTCCAACTGCATGCATGCATGCATATATATACATGGTCAGCAAGCAAATTTACATGTGTACGTACGTACGTATAGTGGTTAGTGCTTGGCCTGTTGTAGCTACGTACGTACTTACTTACCGGGTAAGACATGATGTCGTTTTGGACCCTGCAAATGGAAGCGGATGCCATCACCATCTTGTTCGTTTTACTGGTCACCCACTCAAAGGCCTCTCTGGTGGCTAGCTCTGGTCCGATCCCCAAGTAGGCCGATGCGCAGACGAAGAAGTAAGAGCTGGTTATGTTTGCATGCTTCAGGTACTCCTCCAGACTCGGCACATGGCAATCACTGCGCCACCGGGCCTCAGCCAATAAGGACCCGCACCAATTCTTGAACTACGTACGTACGTACAAGAATCAACAAAAAGATATATAACGATGTTCGATGTTAATGTATTAGATGCACCTACAAAGATTTAAGTTTGAACGTACAAACGACACACAAGTACGTACCTCTTGCTTACAGTAGTCAATACCATAAGTGGGTCCAGTTCCTGATATAATTGCCTGCTCCATTTCTTCGAACAGGTTAACGATGACCACCCGGTAGGCCTCCTTCATAATGTCGGGGAGTTCTTCCAGAGCAGAAATATCCATCCTAAACCAATTACATTAATTAATTAAACACAACCGGAATGAATGTACAAGTATGTTGCAAGGAATTAGTAAAACTGCATCCTTACACACTCCGTATGTACCTCTGAATGGCTTCTGTGAGGATCTTAAGTTGCTTGTAATCACCAAAGTTATCATAGAAATCATCCAAGAGGGTCAACACGGCTCCACACTTGGTGAGTATGATCCTTCCCACACGGTGCTTGGGCTCGGGGTAAACAGTGTTGATCCAGAAATAGCACTCTGCAAGTCTGTCTCTTGCATATGGGAATCTGGTCTTTGTTTCAAGACTTGCCCACCACCTAATTAGTACATTTCATTCTACATATATCATCAACTTCATAGTATAATTTGAAAGAGTTTAGTGTACATTTACTTAAGTAGACGCCTGTAATTAGACGTCCGTAAGAGAGAGACATGCACACTCAATTTATTTATTTATTTATTTATCAGAGTGATTAGAATCATGACGCCTAGAGACTAGTTGCCCCACGATTGGTTGATTATTCAACCTACTTTGAAGCGGGTTTAAAAGACCATTATTTAGTATTTAAGTTCCTAAGAATTAATGAAATATGTGATAAAAGCTAGAAAAGCCATGCGTATATACAAATTTACCGACATTGTGAGTTCGTGGAGCTCCTCTTGATGGACTCTCTGCACCATGTTGAAGTCCAACTTTGCGAACTTCAGGGTTACTGTTTCATCATGAGAAGCTTGCTGATCATCTAGTTCGGAGTAAACATCGATGCAATGCCTAGCAAGTGTCCTAGGGACACATTTCCACATGGGGAGTGCAAGGGAGAATTCAACTTGCTTCTTGAATGACGAAGAGGTCCTGTGATCTTGCACAATTAACTTCAGATTTTTTGTTGTGAAGCTCAAAGCTTCGTCCAATATGTCTTCACCATGAATTGCCACATGTGCTGCCTCATACAAACTCAACAGTCCTTGCCCGTCGAATGCCAACGATTCTTTGAACTTCCCCTCATGATCCTTGAACTTTCTAAACACATCTTCACCCGTGTACTTTATTTAGATTAAGAAGAACATATATGTTACATAGTTATATAAAACGATTGCACATATATATACATACCAGAGGAAACACCAAAGCCTTGCTGTCTAAGCAGTCGGAACCAAAGAGCGGCATGATGGAGATCAATATGCTTATAAGTGTCAATGAACGATTCTCCACCAAGAACATGCACATTTTCAATAGCTTTTTCGATCTCCTCCTTGAAGTGATATCCAACCCCTAAACGCTGGATTGCATCAATCAGCCGCAACTTTTTGAACATTGCCGCCTCATCATTATCACCTACTCCAACGGTTACCATCCTCTGCACCTCTTCCTTCAAAACTTCATATTCCCTACTTTCATGCTCTGGAGTAGGATGTCCCTGAAAAGCGTAAAAGGGGATTTTATACCAATATAGATGTTGATGATATTGTATTCTACAGGCGGAATGATATAAGATTGATTTTTTGACGTGTTTTTCAAAAGATTGAGTTACAACTTATCATTTAAAGGTCAAAATATCATGAAATTGAAAATTATAGTAATTTGGGCAATGTATATATGATGAATCTGTGCCCGTACCCATTGCGATCAGGCTCCGAACGGGTTCGAAACCAGGCTCTGATACCAATTGATGAACGGATTCCCTCCGTTCTAGGGTTTTGCTCGAAACTCACGAGCGGGAGAACGACGTTGGTGTCGATAAACCTTAACTTTATTGATTGTTATGGAACTAATGCCAAAGGTACATATTTATAGGCTTAGAAAAGCCTAATACTTAACCTAATCCTACCCCCATTCGGCTACCCCTTCCCAAACACAAAAGGAAAACTTGACCCAAAAGGAAAAACACCCTAGCCCAACCGAAAAATACCCCACAAGCCCAATACCGAAAAATGCCCTCATCATGCATATAGTGGTTCGACATATATTGAGAACCTTGTTGATGAATATATTTAATGTGATAAATAAATAAAAAAGGGATAAATTAGGAAAATAAAATGTAACGAATCAAGATATAAAATCTTTTGAGATTTGATATCCGTAGATTTTAAAATTTTAAAATTTCTAAATCTAAAATTCATAATACAAAAAAGCAACAAAAATACATTTGTAAATCAATAAATCTACGGCCTAAATCCTATTCTCCAAACGACCCTTTAGAGTAATATTTTCTAAATTATGTCCGAGGCCATTCGACTAAGTCAAAATATCCCATATTACTGTTTAAATGTACAATTAATTAATATCATCAATTAATTGTGTATATCTTACTGATTAACTGATTTGAGACTTGCAAGTTGTGTGATAAAATCCTACTAATTAAGGGTCATTCTATAGTTGAGCCTTAGGAGGATGTTTAAGAATTGAGAAAAATTAACGTACGTAATTAAGTCTCCCGTACCTGCAGGGATTGGTTTGCTACGATTACCCCATCATGAGAAGCAGTAGTATGATCACTCCTCCTCCTGGTGGCGAGGAAGTGATCCCCCCAGATCGTGTCGTCGAACACAGCTGACTGCAGTATCCGGCGATCCCCACCGGCGTCCGGCGAAGCTGCGGGTGGCACGGCGTTTGATTGAAGCGACATATCGATCGATAGTACGTAGTTTGATGATATTGCTGGCTGGCTTCCTGTTTGCATGCGGCGGCGGAAATTGCCCGCTACTGTACTGATGGTTTTGTTGCCATAAACAGAAGGTAAATTAAGTACCCTTATTTAAACTAAACATAAAACGGAAAAAGAAATTTTGAATTGCATGCGGTCCAGCGCATGCGGCCAGGTCCCTTCATCATGATTCCCAATTCGAAAGCAAAATAATTTTAATAATAATAAAAAATAAAAAAAAAAGTTTGCAAAGACAAATGAAAGTGGCTGCTCATGATAAGTTGATAACGATAAGTTGGTGCGAACAATAACGTTGTAGACGATAAGACATAGATCGAAAGGATCAGAATGTGGCTTTACTTTACGCAGAGGGAGCAATTTCTTTTTATTTCTCTTATTCTTTTTTGGTAATTGTTGTTGAATCTTATTAAGCTCCGGTTGACCAAAATACTGGCCAACTCCTCGATCGAAAAATACATATGCTATGAACAGCAGTTTACAATATCACTAGCTACAGTTTTACTACAAATAAAATACTACTCTCGTAAGTACCAGCTGCTAATTACTTATACGCATCTGCACAATCCTTCCTTGGAATAGATCAGTAACTGAGCATATTCTATGTTGCCAACGTTATTGCCTCTGATTCCTTCCCAATTTGTTTATTAAGTACTTCCTTTCCTCCTCCTTTTTTTTATTTTATTTTTTTATATTAGATCCCATCTAACAAATATTCCCCTGATGGATTAGCATTATTATGTTGTAGAATGGAGTCAGTGGCGGGGAGCACATGGCCGGGCACTTTTACACATGTTGTGAAGAGAGGAAAACTGTTTAATTGAGATATTCGTTACTCAAAATAGACTCGCATATTAATTGTTGCATGTTATTAAATAGATAGACAACTAATCACCCAACATTTTCCAATATATATATATATATATATATATAGAGGTTGAGCTATCAATATATGTTACGAGATCACCTCTGCCGTGATCAAGGTGCACATCAACCACCTTATTACTATCTCTTTGCTCGATAATTAAAATGATCATATCAGAATCAAAACACCTGTCGTTACGAATCAGAAATACTTCATTTGTACGAGCTTCATGCCATGAAAATTCTGAAAGATACATGGAAAATTAAAACATGTCGGCTCCCAAAACAGAGTAACCAATTATTTCAATAGTTAAAAATTAAACAGAACGAGTTTTGCCCAACAACCATAAATTACTCAAAATAGACTCGCGTATCAATATTAGTTACGAGATCAACATGGCCGTCGTGATCGTCAAGGTGCACGCAATTCTTGAAACATGGACCGCCTTGTTACTATATTTTCACTTGGTAATTAAAATGATCATATCAGACATCAAAACACCTCTCATTACAAACCAGAAACACTTCATTTGTGCGAGCTTCATGCTATGGAAATTCTGAAAGATAGATGAAAAATTAAACACGTCGATCCAAAACGAATAATCAATTATTTTGATAGTTAAAAAACAGCCCAACATTCTCACAAAATAAACAAAGAGACCAAGGGGAAACAGAGAGAATGATGGATCGATTATTTTGACGAAATGCCCAAGAGAAGTAATCCAAAATACCGACCCTAGTTAGCCAAGCCAACTAATGCGACCCATGGAAAATGCGAATTAGAGCATAAACCCAGACAATTAAACGAGCGTAATGATAACCCATGAAAATAATAAATTATTGTACGCTCGCTCGCTCACACTAATCAAGTTGGGCCGGCTGGGACGATGGTGGGTATGGCGAGAAGAGGGACGTCTCGGCGGGCTGTAAGACCAACGCATTCAGTCATCTCCAATCTCATTCCACCGGGCAGCCTCCAATCAAAGTCCCTCACTAGGTTCGCCAGCGCCACCTCCACCACGGCCAGGCCGAAAGAAATCCCCGGACAGCGTCGCCTTCCAGCTCCAAAAGGTATCAACTCGAAATCTTGGCCTATGAAGTCCACTTTGGTTTGGAGAAATCGCTCGGGCAGGAATTCTTCCGGCGATTCCCCCCAATCTGCCGGGTCCCTTCCGATCCCCCACGCATTGGTTAGGATCATGGTTCCAGCCGATACATCGTAACCCATTATGGTCGCGTCTTGCATCAGTTGCCTTGGAGGTAGCAACGGGACTGGCGGGTGCAATCGTGTCGTCTCTTTGATTACTAACTTCAGGTACTCCAGCTTGTGCAAATTTTCTTCACAAATAATGACACCAGCTTCTCTCCTGACCTCCTCTTGCAGCTTCTTCATCACCCTCGGGTGTTTCATCAGCTCTGACATCGTCCATTCCAAAAGCGTTGACGTCGTGTCTGTTCCTCCGATGAACATGTCCTGATCCACCATATGACAATACATAGCCAGTTAAGTAATTAATGACACGAATATTTACCTTACACCTTGGATTTTTCTTTAATAAACAAATACCATGATGACTGCCTTGATCCCATCTCCATCGAGGTGGCACTCCTCTGGGCTGTCCCTTTGGAGCTGCAGCAAGACATCTATCAAGGGTACTGCTTGGCCTTCTTCTTCTTCTTCTTCTCTTTCTATCATGTTGCTCCGTTTCTCCAGACGAGCCTCGCTCTCGAGGACAGCTCCATCGAGAAACTCATCAAATCGTCGAGCCACCCTATCGACTCGAGCATCGAACCCAGTGAGTCGACTCACCCAAGAAAGTTGAGGAATGAACTCGCCCACACTAAATGCAATAAACAGCTCCATGATCTCTGCCAATAGATCCCGGAAGACGGTATTGCCATCGTACTTCCTCCCGAGCGCTATCCTGCAGATGACGTCGTTGGTGAAGCAGGGAAGTAGTGCGCTCAAGTTCACCTCCTGCATGCATTAATTCCACCCGGCCATTTTTTATCAAAAAAAAAAAAAAATCCACCCGGCCATTTAATTGTTCATACATAAAATAAAATAAAAAAACTATGGCTGGACTGGATGAATAAATTAATTACTATATATCCACCTGGCCTGCTTGAGCACTTGTCCGAATCCGATTGACCAGCAGCCCGATTTCCTCCTCTCTCAAAGGACGACATGACCGGATTTTCTTGTTGCTGAGGAGATGAAGCACGCACAGTCGTCTGGACAGCCTCCAGTGCTCGCCGTAGCGAGCGTTGACGATGTCTTTGTTACCGTAGAGAAGCTTCTTAGCGGTTTTCCGTTCTGGCCGGTCGGAGGAGATGAGGTCGTGGGTCTTCATCACCTCACGCGCCGCCTTGGAGGTGGAGACCACTAGTACCGGCCTGCTGCCGAAGTGGAGCAGCATGAGGTCAGGGGCGCCGCAGCGCTTCGCCAAGGCGGGGAAAATTCGGTGAGGATACTTTCCCACTTGGTGGAGGTTCCCAAGGATCGGCAGCTTCGGCGGGGATGGCGGCTTTCGGGCTTTGTTTCCCTGCTGCCGGCGTTTCATGCTGCTCATGATGATAATATTACTGAGGATGAGTGCTGCAGCGAACCCGCTGGCGGCCATCACAAGTAATAGTGTTACTGCCATTGCTTATCGATCAAACAGGCTTTCTTTCTATCTGTGATTCCATTTGATATCCATGTATGTATATATATTTCCCTTACAGATTAGTTGGTTGTTGATGAATGCTAGCTAGCTGGCCGATTTGGAGCATTCATATATGCATGTGTCCTCTAGCGTCCTGTCGTTATACAGTTCATTAATAGCTAGTCTACATTATATTCTATTCTACGTATACTTGGGTGCACTCAGGAGGTAGGAAAAACGTGATCAGGATAGCGGACCCAAAGTTATGGAACTTGGGTGTAGGTCTTTTGTCGAAATAGTTTGGCCGATTAATTTCTAGTTGAGTAGTTTCAACAACTCTCTGTTCTTTACATTTCTTCTTAGCAGCTTAGCCTGACAGCATACTCGATCAAATGAGTGATTTTCTCACCTACAACCATGGCCACCAGGCCCCCATTTTGTCAAGGTAGGCGAGACCTACTCTATTATAACCTGTTCCCGCTTAGGAAAAAGTGTGTAATAATTTTTACTGACAGTCCACAAAATACTGATATTTATAATAAGAGCTCCTGATCGAAGGAGAGAACGGGGAAATTCCATATGACCCGATATATCTGACAAGCCGCACTATACGGTTCCAATCAACCAGGATTTAATTTTGAAACATCAGCCGTCAGAAAAATAATATAAACAATTAATTATAATAGTCCATCATTAGTATTGAATTTTAAAATTTCATATTCGAATCTCTCGAGTAACACATTATAATGAATATCGCCATTATAAAAAAAACACATTATAATGAAAACAAACATTTATCACCTTTAAACATTAATTATAAAATTGAAGCATAAAAATTAAATAAAATAAAATAAACCAAAAACAAAACAGGAAGGAGTCGTTTAATTGCTGTACAGCACATTCTCACTCATGATTCCAAAACAATGGAAGTGGTTACTGATGACACTGATCAGCTATAATTAGAATTATTAAACCATTAGTTATTAGAATTATTAAAGGGTTATAGGTATAATATGCTCATTTACTATGACGTTTTATCAAATATATCCCTCTACTATTTTTTACACCAAACATGCCCCTGTACTTTGAAAAAATTATCAAACATGCAATTCTGTTAAGATTTTCAATGATAAAATCATCAATCATGGTTGAACCGAGATTTAGAAGACCCGACATTGGCAAATGGGAGCGAAAATGTCAATTTTTTCTCCCGTTTTATTTCTCTGGGTCTCTTCAAAGTGAAATTATTTGAATTATTTGGCTATACAAAAGAACAAAAAAAATCTAAAGTAAATTATTAGGGATATTTTAGACATTTGTGCCTCCCAAACCAAAGTTCCACCTTGGTTAACGGTTTTTGGTTGAAATCTTAAACAAAAGAGCATGTGTGATCATTTTTACATAGTACAGAGGCATGTTTGATGTAAAAAATAGTATAAGGGCATGTTTGATTAAACGTCATAGTAGAGAGGCATATTATACCTATAACCCATTATTAAACTACTAGCAGACAAAACTTACCAAAAATCGAGATTTACTGTTTATTACGAAAACAGAGTTCTTCACCACATTGGGCATTTGGGCTGGACAAGTGATGACCGTTGATTATCGTTTTAATTTCCTCACATACATGGACTCAACTCTCAAGTGCAAATGGCCACACAGGTCAGCACCCACTCCCTCTTCTCCGGTGCACCGTCCTCTCCTCTATGTTACTTTTTTAGCTTTCCCCATTCACTTTTTTCTAGGATCAAATCCCACAACCAATCACAATCAGCGTTTATCAAGCCTCCTCTATTTCCTATATAGCTCCCTCATTTGTTCTTTCTTCTTTTGCTACCTTATCATTTCTCTCACTCTTCACACAATTCTATATAATCATACAAAATATAATAGTTCCCACATCACACCCAATTGGAATATAGAGACGGACAGTCTCACACTCTCTTTTACCAAAAGGGTATCTATCTAATGCAAATGCAATAGACTGAGAGAGAATTTTTGGGATGACTGAAAGAGAGATTTAGAAGAAAGTGTGAGACGGATAGTCTCACACTTTCTTTTAGCCTAATACCATTCACCTCCGACACGGTTTTGCCCTACACTATTTTTTGCACCAGATTAATAGGGATAGATTTAGAGAGAATAAGGTTGTTCCTTACTATAATATGAAAATTTCTAGTTGCACCATGTCACTAAAGCAATTGAAACTAGGATGTTTGGGTTCTAATTGTTAGGTTACAACCACTAGATTAGATCTGCATTGACCAAAATCAAGGTACGTAGGTGCGTGAATATATTACAAGTGAGCTTCATCCCATGGCAATTTTGGAAGATAGAATTGAAAATGGGAAGAGCCTAAACCAGAAGAAGGAGCGTAATGATAATCTTGTACGTGTGCACTAATTAATTAAGTTGGCCGACGGGCAGAGACAATGGTGGGTATGGTGAGAAGAGGGAGGTCTCGGCGGGCTGTAAGACCAACACACTCAGACATGTCCAAATCCTCCCCTCTCATTCCACCGGGAAGCTTCCAGTCAAAGTCCCTCACCAGATTCGCCAGCGCCACCTCCACGACGGCGAGGCCGAAAGAAATCCCCGGACAGCATCGCCTTCCAGCTCCAAAAGGTATCAGCTGAAAATCTTGGCCTTTGAAATCCACTTTGGCTTGGAGAAATCGCTCCGGCTGAAATTCGTCAGGCGATACCCCCCAATCGGCCGGGTCCCTTCCGATCCCCCAGGCATTGGTGAGGATCATGGTTCCTGCAGATACATCGTACCCCATTATGGTCGCATCTTGCATCAATTGCCTTGGAGGTAGCAGCGGGACTGGCGGGTGCAATCGAATCGTCTCTTTGATTACTAGCTTTAGGTACTCCAGCTTGTGCAAATTAGCTTCAAAAATAATGACACATTCACCACCAACTTCTCTTCTGACCTCCTCCTGCAGCTTCTTCATCACCCTCGGGTGTTTCATCAGCTCCGACATTGCCCATTCCAAAAGCGTTGAGGTTGTATCTGTTCCTCCGATGAACATGTCCTAATCCATCACGGCAGTCATAGTTAAGTAACAGGGAAATTTACATCATACGTAAGTACCTTTTTTATAATAAATAAATAAATAAATACCAAGATGACTGCTTTGATCCCGTCTCCATCCAGGTGGAAGTCGTCTGGGCTGTCCCTTTGGAGCTGCAGTAAGACATCTATGAAGGGTACTGCTTCGCCTTCTTCTTCTTCTTCTTCTTCTTCTTCTTCTTCTTCTTCTTCTTCTTTTCCCCTTTCTATCATGTTGCTCCGTTTCTCCAAACGAGCCGCGCTCTCCAAGACCGCTCCATCAAGAAACTCATCAAATCGTCTAGCCACCCTATCGACTCGAGCGTCGAACCCAGTGAGTCGACTCACCCACGAGAGCTGAGGAATGAACTCGCCCACACTTAATGTAACAACCAACTCCATGAGCTCTGCCAAAAGATCCCTAAAGACGGTATTGCCATCGTACTTCCTCCCGAGCGCCATCCTGCAGATGACGTCGTTGGTGAAGCAGGGAAGTAGCGCGCTCAAGTTCACCTCCTGCCATCAATATATATAATTGCACACATGATTTATTTATTCGAATTCGTACGTAGAAACAAGAAGTAATTTTGGAATATCTAATCGCAAATTACCATCTACCTGGCCCGTTTGGGCACTTGCTCGAATCCGATTGACCAGCAACCCGATTTCCTCCTCCCTCAAAGCATGGCAGGACTGGATTTTCTTGTTGCTGAGGAGATGAAGCACGCACAGTCGTCTGGCCTGCCTCCAGTGCTCGCCGTAGCGAGCGTTGGCGATGTCTTTGTTATCGTAGAGAAGCTTCTTAGCGGTTTTCAGATCTGGCCGGTCGGCGGAGATGAGGTCGTTGGTCTTCATCACCTCACGCGCCGCCTTGGAGGTGGAGACCACTAATACCGGCCTGCTGCCAAAGTGGAGCAGCATGAGGTCAGGGCCGCCATAAAGCTTCGCCAAGGCGGGGAAAGTTCGGTGAGGATACTTTCCCACTTGGTGGAGGTTCCCAAGGATCGGCAGCTTCGGCGGGGACGGCGGCCGTCGGGCTTTGTTTCCATGCTGCGATCGTTTGTTGCTGCTGCTGATAATATTCCGGATGATGAGTAGCACTAGTACTGCAGCAGCAAACACGCCGGCGGCCAGCACAAGTAACGGTACTACTATTGCCATGGCTGGCTTATCGATCAAATACGCTTTCTGCGCGCAATTCCATCTGATATTGATTGATGTCTATATATTTCCGCCAAAGTATTTTTATTTTATTTTAGGAGCACCTGCCATATATGAGACCTCTAGCGTCCTGTCGTTATACAGCTAATAAATATTCTCCATCTTCTACTCATCAAGTATTTTAGGAGAACGTGCATGGTTTGATCATTAAGTATATTTTAGGAGTTTGTTCCCTCCAAATTGGTCCTTGTTTTTTAATTTAATAGGAATCTTTCATGAATGATGTACTTCAATATTTATATTTGGAGAAAGTGAACAGTTTGGATTTTTTATGTCTCAAATAAGAAGCTATGTTACTAGCGAATAAAGACTTAGTCTAGTGATTCTAATGTTGATTTTTCTATCTTACTACATTCTATTGAAATTTTTGTTTACGTCTTCAACCTTAACATGCAGGTAAAAACAAAGTAGAGAAAAGAAGTGATTACATTATTAGTGTCTAAGAGCACTTCTGTAGTAATGTATCCTAACAATCACGAAATGAAATCATCACAGTTTATCGTGATCCACCCGTTTGAAAATAAATATAAACCATTAATTATAGAATTTAACCATTAGAAGAAAGGGGGTAAAAGTAAACAAAACAGGATGGAATCTTTTGATTGCGGTCCAGCACATTCTCACTCATGACTCCAAAACAATGGAAGTGGTTACTGATCAGCTATAATAATCCAATAACTAATCAAGTAATTAACTTAATCACTACGTATATGACAAAGAAC